AGGTAGGCGCGATGTTGGCATGCTAGAGGTAGTAAGAAATGATCAATGTATTCTGACACTGCATATGACTCACTACCACAGTCAGATATAATCGGGCGGCCTTTAGGGATTTTATTCGAGATAAACCACTCCTTGGTTGGATTCTTATGGATTTTAGGCAAAGTGTACAAATGTCTCTCGCGACAATCAGGTTTGGCAGACAGATAGTCATATTGTTTCTGTTTGAGATAACTAGTTTTGACTAAATCGGCAAGAATATTATTAATCATGCTAGCAGTTTCTTTGAAAATTGGTTTCGGTAAAATGGCATAATGTTTAGGATTATTCAGTTGATTCTCTGCTTCTGAAACGTAATCCTCCCTATTCAGAATGACACAACATGAACCTTTGTCACTCTTTTTAATAACAATGCTATCGTCTTTCTTAAGTAAGTTTAACGCTTCACGTTCCACTCGTGTGAGATTCGGCTTTTCGTGTGTTATGGAAAGGTTCACTGTTTGGCTATTCATACTAGCAAATGCTTTCAATATTTCAGGACGGATGGCGGCCTGAGGGGGTGTCCACGTGGATTTAGGAATAAACATTGTTCTAGCACCACGTGGGGGGTGGTTTCGAAAAAAATATGTGCAGCTAAGATTTCGTTGAAATCGTTCAATGGATGGTCGGAGATAATTCAAGTTAGCTATCTTTGGTGTGGGAATAAACTTAAGTCCACGGTCTAAGATTGAATGCTGAAGGGGTGTGAGAATTATGCGGCTCAAGTTAACTACAGTTTGGCCTAGCGGTGGCCTCTCAGTATTTTTATCCCCAGTAATTAGTTTAAAGACTTACTCGATGCTTGAAGCTGGTGTATCCAAAACAAATAAATGCTGTTTGCTGTTTCTGGAGACCAATGAAGATTATCAACTGTTTCGAATTCTTCTTCGTAGGGTGGTAAGATTGTTGCGCTGTTGATACTGGACTCCATCATCATGTTGTTGAGGGTGCTGAGGTTCTGTTGTGCTTTCTTCGAGATTTTATTTGAAATGGGTATACATGTGAAGAGGATCTTGGAGTTTGGGAAGGTTTTGTTGGCTGTGGCGATTAATTTCTGGGCTTGGTTAAAGGAGGTCTTTGGTATCTGATCACGGTTGTTGAGGCCTACATGAAGAATAATGGTAGTAGGTTTGGGATCATGGTCGTATGATTCCAGGATTGACTGTATGTGATGGATTTGGGCACCGGGGTAAGAATGTATTTCGGTGTCTGAACTGGTTTTGGTAATTCGATTCAGGTTAGATGATCCAATTATTAAGGTTGATTTCTTTAGAGCAGGTGT